AATACCTGCCAATAGGTCTTGCACAAAGATGTCATAAAGACACCCAGTATTTGCATGAAGACACCGATTCTGAAGATGAGATGGAAATGACCAGCGTCCGATGCTCGACCCCCTATCACTCCGACGAATAACAGGAGAAATACTTGAACGCTACCGATCCAAGCGATGGATGAAGAAGTTTGAGCTAAGCTGACGGTATAGTATTGTTGGAAAATCCCATAACTGTTTGCGAAACCCCAACTATTGAAGAAGACGAGATGTGTGAGGAACACATGGAGCCAGGCTGTGAATCCCCCATCCGGAGGGGACCCGGGATTTGTTGAATTGGGGGTTGGAGCTTGAGACTGGGATTCATTATCGGTACTGGTGCTTGAGAATTGAGCATCCTGCGTTTGTTTTTCGGGCTCATTCATAGTTATATCATCAGATGTATAGCTGTGGATGGCAAAGAAAAGGCTCATCAACAATGATATATCAAAATATATGTTTCCGCACCAAGGCCAGTCCAGGAAAAATCTTTATATACTCTAGCGATTGACTTAAATTTCATTTTTTTTAATAAAAATTTGAAACCCCATTAGCAAACAAACCAACAGTTCCGGATTATTACCAATTAACTCCCACAAAAAGTGCGTACGTCTTTGGCTCGGGTGATGCGCGTCCGGTTATTGCGGGGAGTTAGGGGAGCGGGACAAAAACAATTGCGCTGGAGGAATCATTCTCGTAGGTGTGGAAGAGGTGTAGAATCGTTAATGCTATAGGTCTGGATTATATATTGGTTCATCTGCCGTCTAGATTTATTCCTAATACATACCCCCAGGTAGAATCTCAATCAAACGGAGTATATAAAACAATTCCCACTGATAGTATACCCACCCCACTTGTCTTAAACTCTTTTACAATCATATATCTATTACAAGACTGTATTATCTACCCAAGTGAGACTTTCCACATGTTATTGTAGTAGATCCTTAAACTTCATTAGCTTGTTTGAATGCAGATCGACTACACGGAAACTTATTGCTTCAATGTGAGAACTTGCCGTGTCTTAGATAATGACTCAAAAAATTTACCTCCACAAAGTCTTGGGACTGTGAAGCTGTTAAACCATTCGTATCGTAGATCGCAATCATTACAAACGGAAGACTCCGATATTTTCTGAAATATAGATATGAGCTAGAAAAATACTGCGATAATTGTTCACAAGAATATATTTGTTGGTATTATAAATATTAGTGGAATTCAAACTTCTAGAGATCTTCTATATACACTTTCCATTCTCCATACATCATCTATTACGACTATGACCCCTCAATGAGCTTCTCCCGTCCCGAATACCTCCAACTTAATCCTATCTTCGCGCACTCCAAATGTTTGCAAAGTCTTACTCATATCATTCATGAATCCCCCCGGACCACAAATGAAATATACCGTCAAGGAATCATCCAAATGCAACGCTTCATCCTTAACTTTCGAAAAGTCCATTCGTCCCGCTAGATCCTTAACCGGATGTCCATAATCATCGGCTGGTAGATTTTTGACGAAAACCCAGGATTTGATATTCGACTGCGATGAAGCGATCTCTTGGACGTGGGCATGGAATGCATCAACTTCTTTGCTGCGCGCTGCGTGGATATATGATATTGGCCGCGTGCTTCTTCTTTCAACCAATGTGTTGAGTATGGATACCATGGGTGTGAGGCCAACTCCGGCGGAAATTAACACTACGGGAGAATCGACATTCTGTTGTAGATCGAGGAAGAATTCTCCCTGGGGAGGAGATACCTGGACGATATCACCCTCGTTCTTTAAATCGTGGAGAGTATTCGAAATCACACCTGCTTCAACTGGTGTATTGACTTCTGGTAGGACAACAGCATCCTCTCGTTTCACACTGATACGGTAGTATTTCTCATTTGGACGATCACTTAATGAGTATTGTCTGGATTGCAAATATCCGAAGCCTGGTACATGGACCTGGACTGAAATGTACTGGCCCGGTTTGAAAAGAGGGAGAGGTTTTCCGTCCACGGGTTCTAGGTAGAAAGAGGTGATAATTCTGGATTCTTTAACTTTCTTGGCGATCTTGAAGTCTCTCCAATCTTTCCATTCCCCAGCTTCTACATATAATTGCGCTTCTCTATCAATCATAATCTGAGCCAATTGGTTGTAGGCAGCCGTCCACGCGTCTAGGATTTCTGGCGTCAATGCTGCGCCGAGTACTTGGCCCATGGCCTCCAGTAGGTATTTTCCAACGATGGGATAGTGTTCCGTTCGGATGAATAATGAGGCATGTTTTTGACATATTCTTTCCACGGCATCTGAGAGTACAGCAAGGTTATCGATATTGGCCGCATAAGCAGCTAGAGCACCTGACAGAGCACGTGGTTGAGCTCCATTCTTTTGGTTTGTTTGGTTGAAGATGTTATTGAGTGCGGGATTTGCATCGAGAACGTTTTTGTAAAAGGCGGTAGTAATGGTAGTTCCATACTCTTGGACTACAGGCACTGTGGCCTTTATGATGTCGATTTGCTGAGGTGTGAGTGACATGGTAGGATTTCAATTATCTAGTAGATTGTGATATTGTTTTCCAGTATCGATGATTCTAGACATCCAAACATTCTGGACATACTGGCTCCAGGATCCTTATGTATGAATTCCACCTCGAGCACCAAGATTACAAACTGCTGTAAGTAAAACCTTCCCCTTTCGTGCCCATGAAAATATTCTGACCTGATTTCATCGTATTACATTTGCAATCATACATATACCTCGATTGCAATTGGTTTATCACGATAAACAGTGGTATGTTTTTGGGAGCCGAGTGAGGGATACCGCTGACATGGAAAGATTGTATCCTGATTATTTATGTACAATATCCACCAGGGGTTGAAGCATCTCCGGGGAGATGTCCACCTCATCTTTCCGAGACGTTATCAATGTTTACCAATGAATGCAACGGGGCACCGGGTGACTTTGGAAAAATGGGTTGAAGATTTGAATGCTAAACTGCGGATATCACGGTCCGTGACATCCCCGCGATATCACCGCGTCCGATCACCGGTGGATCTTTTTGTCAGATTAATAAGCATTGATGAGTTCCACCATTCCATGCTTCTCAGATTCATTGAAGCATCACCAGGAGGATTTGACTGAGTCCCAAAGACTGAACTCTTTTCCTCTTAAAATCATAGCAAAGCATACTGGGAATTGTGATTCTATTGTCAATTATTAGCTTTCGAAATTTCAACCTTGCTTCAGACACAAATCATCCATAATGCTATCGAAAGGCAGAGTCTAAAACAACAACAACAACCTACGCGACATATATCTAAACAATCGAAATGTCGTCAATTTCTTTACAGACAGCCAGGCGACGTAAGCTAGAGGCTTTTCCATGGATCAAGTACCCATTGATTGTATCAGCGCCAATGTTGGGTGCTACCACGCCTGCTCTCGCGACAAATGTGAGTCTGGCGGGTGGTATAGGATTTCTTGCAGGGGGTAACGATGGGGCGGATCTTCATCAAAAGCTTACCACAACGAGGTCATTGTTTGAAGCTGCGAGTCAAAAACCGTCGCAACTTGAGACATTTGATCGTCTTCCTATTGGGATTGGCTTCCTGAATTGGGACTGTAAAATCAATGTCGCTGTTGAAGCTACAAAAAATCACAAACCTTCAGCAGTTTGGCTTTACGCACCGAAAAGAACAGAAGACTTGAAAGAATGGGCCCAGGAGCTTAGAGCTGTTAGTGAGGGGAAAGTTTCAATTTGGGTACAAGTCGGGAGTGTCAAGGAAGCCTTGGATGTCGTGGATATAGCGAGACCTGATGTCCTCGTCATTCAAGGTTCCGATGCTGGTGGCCATGGTCTAGCTCGATCAGCCAGTATTATCTCATTGCTTCCAGAAGTTGCAGATGCACTTGAAGATAGAAAATTGGAAATAAATTCCATACCACTACTTGCAGCTGGCGGAATTATGGATGGACGAGGTGTTGCTGCTGCAATGTGTTTGGGAGCGACAGGGGCCGTGATGGGTACCAGATTTTTAGCGGCTGAAGAAGCAGGTATTCCTCAAGGCTGGCAAAGGGAGCTTGTCAAAGCAGTGGATGGTGGTGTTAGTACCGGAAGGTCTACTTTATGCGACCGATTGAAGACAATAGTGGGATGGCCAACAAAATATGATGGTCGCGCCTTACTCAATAAGGGCCATGAAGACGAGAAAGCTGGAATGACAGACGAAGAAAACGTTCGCTTATATAAGGAAGAGTTAAGAGATGGTGATAAGGCTTGGGGCTCACATGGCAGGATGGTTGCATATTCTGGTGCTGGGGTTGGGCTGATTAAAAGCGTAATGCCAGCCGAGAAGATCATTGAAGAAACAAGAAAGGGTGTTTCCGATGTCTCTCAGTAGCTACACTTGCAATCGAACAAACCAAAAGGCCTTTCCAAGTAAGGCCTTTTCTTTTGCATCAACACTTCACAGTGAGCAGGAAGCTTGAGGAGACTTTTTACCTCCTGATACGTAACGATGTATTTGATTTTCATTGCTTTTTCGATTTTCATAATTTCCATAGCGCAAATGACGCATATAAGTAGGATGAACATTAACTCTCAATCATTGGAATATTATCTGAAACATATTGAATACAATTTCAATTGAACTAATGGCTACCCATGTGACATCCGCAACATTCAGCTCGCTTCGGACCGATTTCTTCTTGACGCTGATATTCAAGCAAGGGTTACATACGATCAAGAAGAAACTGTAGAAAGATCAATTCGGAAGGATAATTTATGATGTGCAGGTCTGTTGGTTTTCCGCAGACCACACTTTGCTTGAAGTGGGTCGTCCGCAGAAGGATCGTCAACCATGTTTCTGTAACCTTCCCATTTGGGGTAAATGTAGGATGCAACCTTCTGAAAGGATTTACTCGTACCTTTAATCATAAACCTACCTACAAAGGGTCACTAGATTGGCTGTTCATGGCCACCCTTTATGTTGTGCCTTCCTTCCTGTGACATCTTCTGTGCAGTTTAATTTCATGCTTGACATTTGAACCGGACACATTTGTTCCGAGTACTTCTTCGCGATAGTTCTCATTGTACTGTTAATAGGGTGACATCGCAAATGATTTAGTGAAATTTTAATAAATCTTTCTTTTCACGAGAATTTTCAATCTTTTCAATTTTCGCGGTAGAAGAAAAGTCGGAAAATGGGGGTTTCTAAAATGTTGTTAGGCGCCTTGCTAGGCTTTGCTTCTTTGAACGGCGTTCAATCAGCGACGCCTGATGAATGGAGAACTCGTTCAATATATCAAGTATTTACAGATCGATTCGCTAGAATAGATGTTACAAATACTACGGATTGCCCTTCTCAAACTAGAGGATATTGTGGTGGGACATGGCAAGGCATAATCAACAAGCTTGATTATATCCAGGTATGAGAAGAATGGTGCAGTCATACGCTAGTAAAGTCCTAGGTACTAATACTCTACTAGGATATGGGATTCACAGCAATTTGGATATCACCAGTTGTTGAACAGGTCGCGGATCCAGGTCGAGGTTTTCACGGGTATTCCGCTCAGAATTTATATGGTTTAAACAGTCACTTTGGAGACGCATCGGATTTGAAAGCATTGGCTAACGCACTTCATGATCGAGGAATGGTAAGATTGAATACAAAATGAGTACAGATAAAGATAGCTGATTATAGCAGTACTTGATGGTTGATGTCGTGGCGAACCATATGGGATCTGATGATACTGCGCATAACGTCGATTTCAACATCATGAACCCATTCAACGACGGCAAATATTTTCATGATGTCTGTTTCATTAATGATTATAACAATCAGACGAATGTCGAACTATGCGAACTTGGAACAGAGAAGTATCCATTACCAGATCTAAACACTACTCGACAAGATGTTCGAGATCTCTTTACTACTTGGATCGAGTCACTAGTAGCCAATTATTCAATTGACGGATTGAGGGTGGACACTGTTAGACATGTGGAAAAAGATTTTTGGCCTTTATTCAATGAAGCAGCCGGGGTCTATTGTGTCGGCGAAGTGGCAGATGGGGATGTAGATTATCTATGTCCGTACCAAGATTACATAGATGGACTCCTTTCCTACGCGTCGTATTATCAACTCACAAAATTCTTTTCCAACACCTCTGCAACGTCAGAGAACTTGATAGGACAACTGCAATCCCAAAATTATCGATGTAAAGACACAACACTTCTCGGATCCTTCACTGAGAACCACGATCAACCCCGCTTCGGAAATTATACCAGTGATCTTACATTGGCTAGAAACATCATCACATACACGATGTTAGCCGATGGTATCCCAATTATCTATCAAGGTCAAGAACAACATTTTCATGGCGCAACTGATCCTTATGATCGTGAACCAATATGGCCCACAGGTTACGATACTAGTTCCCCACTTTATGTCCTTGTCAAGCAATTGAATGCTATACGTTCTTTGGCAATAGCACGCTCGGATACATATGCGACTGATCAAACCCAAATCGCTTACTCAGATCCGCATAATACTGCGTTTCGGAAGGGGAATGGGAAATGTATGACCCTAATGGTACTGAACAATATCGGTGAGAGTGCAGAGTATTACACGGTTGAGATGAAGAATGTGGGATTTGAAGCTGGACTGGTAGTGACGGATGTGTTGAGTTGTAGGAATGTAATGGTGGATGAGTATGGTGGGATGAACGTGCCGTTTGTCAGTGGGTTGCCAAGTGTAAGTCCAATCCTCTCCATGAACACATGTAGAAACTAATCGCATGTATAGGTTTATTATCCTTTCTACTTACTTGCTGGAACAGGCTGGTGTGGTCAGTATTGAGATGGTATACTTCCTATCTGATTGATCTGAGTAGAGGAGACGTTTTCCTGTATATACTTATATCCACAAAATTACCTCGCGGATTCATTGTTCATAGCTTAGAAGAAATTTTCGTATATAATGAAGCTATTGGTGAGGTCTAATCCCTTTCAAGAGTCCTCCCTCTTTTTGATAGCATAAAAACGATCTAAAGGTACATATAAAAGTGCTCAGCGCACAAAAAATTGGCAAAATCGCTCTATCCCTCGTAGTCCATGTCGCTCGAACCGAGACTATCCTCTTCACTCCCACTAAGCTCTCCAGCACCCATTTCACCACCACCGCCACCGGTATCGGCACCAATTGGACCAAAATCGCTCAAAGAAGCACCGCTAGCTTGCTCCCTCTCCCAAATGGGTCGTAATCTCTCCACTTCTCTTCTAGTCTCCTCACAAAACTCATTCATCACCTCAGGTCGATCCGGAATCTCAATCTGCCGCAAGATTCGCTGATTCTCCATCGCTACCAGGTTGTTCTCGTCATGGTAGCCAATAACGGCCAAATTAGCCATTGGATTGGCGATAGGGGGGCCATTTAGACCATGGCTGGTATTCAGAAGGCTGTTTTGAAGGCCTGGGAGGCCACCAGCAAGGTAGCCGACAGGAGGAGGGGGAGCAAAGCGAGAATCATGTGGAGGAGGATGGTGGGGGCGTAAAGCTGGAGCTAGATGGCTAGCTGGTTGTTGGTAGGTGATTTGAGGAGGGAGGATAAGAGGAGGATATACCAGAGCACGTGCTGGAGGAAGATGTGGAGGGAATCCACGTGGTCCATCGATATCGTATGGATTTATATAATGCGCGGGGTTATCCATAGGGATGTAGCGGCCGGCAGAAGGAGCAATGTAGCCTAGCCATTGCATGCCAGGCTCGGCTGGATAGGGAACGGCTGGATGGTCATCGGGGAGATGGTGGGGACCAAAACTGGGGTGGAGGATGGGATGGTTGACCCAGGCGTTAGATTGGGTGAGGGTTGCGAATTGGGGGACTGGGAGACCGAGGTAGTAGAGGGGATAAGGTGGAAGAGGTGCAGCTTGGATGTTTATATGGCCTGGGAGTTGGTAGAATGCTGGTTGGCGGTGGTTATTGTTCATTTTGGCGGTGGGATGGTGTGAAAGGTAGTTGGTGGGTGGTTTTACTGCTTTAAATGGGTTATTTGTGCGATAAAAACGCTTGATTTTAATAATCAACCTTGTGAGACTAGATTTGAAAGTGAAATTATCATAAATAACTCTTATTTAGACTATGAACTCTACTATATCACGCGTCAATACTACAGATTAGGCCAAGACCATATCGAATTTGTTGCATAATAAACTCCATGTATTACGAAAATGCTATCAAAGCTCTCGAAATACGATAATTGTAGAAATACAATAGCAGTCGTTGAAATCCAGAGCTTAACAGCCTCAGTTCAGTCATTCTTGAGATCCCAGACACAGACTTGACCATTATAACCATTCTGACACTCCAAAACAATACATATACCATCAATCAACAGTAAAAACAACTATTAGCATAAGACAATGAGTAGATAAATCAAAGGAAGTTGTTTAGCTTTGATAGTTAAGGTTTGTTCATCATTTCTCGGCTCCCTTACTCTAAGCGACAGCTAAAGTTGATGGAGTGTCTAGATTTCGAGTGTCATTACATCATTAGTTCACAAAATGGAAAATATCTGATAATTGGAGTTTACTCGAATGATACTTTGTTTTGAGTGTTTGAATTGATTTGGTAGATTGAACTTATTTCATTAGGAAAATCCGTCATGTATGTTCAATTGCTTTGAGATATCTAGTGCATTTATCAAAATAGAGCTTATCGTTAGATTAATACTCCCGATTGTTCAAATCAATTCTTGTCATCGAAGTATCTTCATTATTCAAACTCGTCAAATATGTTTAACTCTCCTAAGATATCTAGGACACTTGATGTTGTAAGACTAGGTGATATGTTGAGATAGTCTCAATTGCTCAAGTCGATTCTAGTTGTTGACATTTTCTCATTTCTCAGCCCGTTATACTTACTTAATTATCTTAATTTATGTAATGCACTTGATGATATAAAACTAAATAATACATTAAGATATTTATAAATCTCTAAATCAATTTCAATCGTTATCATAATCTCATTATTCAAACCCATCACATATATTAAATTGTCTTAAGGTATCTAATTCTTATCATATTATCAAACCGACTAACAATTTGAAATACTCTTGATTCTTCAACTAGATTCCAGCTATCAAGCTATTCTCGTTATTCAAACTCATCACATACACTGAATTGCCTTAAAGTATCTAATTCATCTGATATTCTAACATCAAGTAAAACAATGAGATATCCTCGATTCTCCAAGTCAACTTCATATTTTGAAATATTCTCAATAATCAAATCCATTACATTTATTCAACTATCCTGAGGTATTCAATACATTTGATAGTACAAAGACGATAGAGATATTGGACGCCCTTAATTGTTCAAATCAATATCAAATATTCACAACACTTCATTATTCAAACGCATCTGATAGTACAAAGGCAAGTCAGACAATGAGATATCATTAATTATCAAAGCCAATAGAAATATTTGAATCTTCTTGATTGTCCAAAATCAATTTCAGGTATCTAGGATACTTCACTATATTGAAGTATTTTATAACACAAAGTCAAGGTAGATATTGAGATACTTTCGATTGTTCAAATCGAGTTCAGTCATTCAAATCATTAAATTGTTCAAATTAACTGGATGGATTCAAATATCCGGGGGTATTTACTACAATTCGGGACTTACAAATATATGAAGAATACATTTCATGTCATCTCATGAAGCTTTATGGGATATTGGGACATTCTCAATTATATGCATGAAATTGTGTATAAAAGAAAAGCTGGAGCCTTTACATGGTTTGTCATCATGAGTCAGTAGTAAAATACATCTGATGCAATGTAATGTAGTTAGGTACTCAAAGCATTCGTATCCGCTTGCGTCATGAAGTCTTTCGAGCGATTACTCTCATATGATAGAATATTTAGCAATTTTGAGGTTCATTGATATCGTGAGCTCCGCAGTATACACCCAACCACCTACATATGATGCGCCCTCCTAAGTGTCTTCTCCGCCTCCTCCCTCACCGCGTCCCAAATCCTAAACGTCTCCTCCCACTCCCCCCCACTACTCTTCCCCCACAATTCTCTCCACCATTTCCCCATCTCCTCAAACCCCCTCACACTCTTTATCCTCTCCAAATCCGTCTCAGATCCCTCATAAATAACCGTATCTATCCACAACGTACATAAAAATGCAAAAAGTGAATATCCCTCTATCTCCCTAATCTTCTTCACAAAATCCCGACATAGAACCCTATCACCTTTGAGAAATGAATCCTGCAGATGGATTAGCAAAGCCAGTTCCGTGAAATCAGGCCCGGATTTAATAGTTTCGGTCTGGAGATTCGGAGAAAAGAGCTGCAAGCGCAAGATCTCAAGACTAAGTCCAAGAGTTGAAATTTGGAATCTGTGATCTTCTGAAGCGTTGGGAAATTCTTGGGAACATTGTTTTACAAAAATTGATGTTCCTCTATTCCACGCAAGTAAAGCTCTTCGACGTTCTTCTGTGGGAATCTGGATTTGCGGAACATCTGCTTGACCAGATTTTAAGAGAGCGTCAATCTTATTATTGTGATTCTGTACAATCGTCCACATAAATCCAATCAAGTGTGTAAAACCAGAGAGTTTTTCTTCTTCCGAGACACTCTGTTTGCTGAGATGGTCAAGTATCGCAGCAACACCTCTCCTTTGCGTCTCTTCGTGTGTCCAGAACGAGCTCTCAATCTTAGAACTTTGCAATAATGATATTCCGAAACTTTGGGCGATTTTTCTCTCTTCGGATTCGGCTTGCGCGCCGAGTATCGCGTGAACACTTTCCCGTCTCTCTCTTAGGATTTGATTATCGTGTCCTAATTTATGATCAACGCCTATACGTATAGTTGATACATCTCTAAATTTTATCGGCGTTCTATTTTTTGTATAGATGTCGAAATTCAGACGCACGCCATGGTTGATTGATCGGAAGTGAAACAATTTGTGTCCGAATCTATGTACCATATAATCCCAAAATTCTTTTTGCTGCACATCTTCATAAAACGAAGCCGGTATTGGAAATTTTTCTTGGTAATCAAAGGGGCCAGGGTTCCTTAACGTAATACTCTTCGATCCACAAAGATCCTGACTTTCTACCGATGGCCAAATCGTCTCAAACCAATGTCCATATGGCATTCCTTTTACCGTCGTAAAAGAACGGACCGTGCCACCATTTAACTATAGCCCCCATGATTAGTTCTCAAGACCCCAATTTCGGAAAGAGAAGCAACTCACAGCAACCTCAAAACTAAACCCAGCTTCAGCCAATGGTTCCTCATCAAAAAACCACGGCGGATTCTCATCATCCGGATTCTCCACTCTCGTCCCATCTGTCCTCGGACAAACAAAATTAATCGCATGAATAATCTCATGCACAAGAGTAATAGCAGTTGCCCACTCTACCATTTTCCTCTCCGAAGCAGATAGATCATTTCTGAACAATGATTGTAACCTTGAATAAGCAAGCCATACATAAATCTGCCACTCCTTATTTTCCGCTTCGTGGTATTCCATGTATTGATAATTTGTTACGGTAAGCCCATACACACTATCTGGAAGTGTATCCTCCGGATCAATGGGATATTCAGGACCGCGAGGATCTTCATCGGGTGACATGAAGCCGAATTTGCAATTCCAGTTCTTTTCTAGATCGTCGAATACCTCTTCCATTCTCTGACGAACAAGACTGTAATCTGTGATATTGTATGGAAGAAATGATACCAAATTATCCGGCACTTCATCTTTTGGACGAATCCTCGCTGGATCGATCGGAACTCTTTCACCAAATATCAGAGCTGCGAACTATTATCCAAATCAGCCCTATCCAATAAACCTTATATGCTTCACAGCAGATCGTTCCTACCCATGGTAATGTATACATGCTCATTATATTCCTACTCGCCAATTGCAAAACCGGCTTCAATTTCTCATACACCAACGGATTATGCATTGACCAATCTCCCCTCTGCACCCCATCGATTATCAGCGGATACATATGGTCCCTCGTCAAATCCGGCTGATGAGGTTGTATTTCCCATCTCTCTTGTTGAAAAAGCGGCATGATGGGATTATCCAACGTAGACTCTTTCAAGTGCCTGTCAGTGATAACATCCATATCCGCCAATTCCCGAGCGGTAAATCCATCAAATTGCTCTCGTTGAAAGTCCTCAATTCTATTTCGGAGAACGATTTCTTCAGGATCCATATGTGCTTTGGGGAAAAGAGGGGCGAGGGGTGTAAGCCCTGATATTTGGGGGTTCTCTGACCAGGCGCCATATTTGGGAACATTATGACTTTGGCGAAGGTCGTATCGTAACATGGCTGGCGGCGATTTGGTCTTCGAAAGTTTCCAAAATATCCTGTGGGATGATCTTTTTTCTTGCTGTGGTCGCGCTATACGGTAGATTGCAACGCTTTCCTTTGTTTGATTATGGCAGTTGGTTAGTTGTAATCGCAAAACATAACATCCATCTTTGTTGCATGTACATTAAAGTTACTGTTCAATCAGGAATAATAGAGACAAAGGAGATTTGGGGTTTCCTCAACTCCAGAGCCGAAGTATTGCTGGTATCAAATAGCAAATATGACCCTTTGTTAAGTTGCTAGAGACTAATGAAATAGCTTAAAGAGGAATCGCCGGATCACCCGATCCGGACAAGAAACTAAAATAAAGACCTTCATATTCTCTCGAAGCAAAAACCTCTCCCATTTTCTCCCCATCACAAATCATGAACCCATCCTGTAATTCTTACAGTTGAACAGACTCTCATATACCATGTCTACGATCGGTACCAACAGTTCTTCCCCTAGTCGCCTAACCTTCTTCACTCCCCCCCAATCCCCTAGAACCTCACAACCAAGCACTCGACGAGCTTCCAAAGTCATTACTGCCAGTCCACGAAAAAGAGTTTCCTTCCCCATCTTTCCAGAAGAAATCGAATTACCAAATCGTCAGACCTCATGGCGACAGAAGCTAGCCAACATACCAAGGCTATGGTCTGAATTCAGTACCTCGTTTCGCCATCGCATTTCCATAAGAAGACTCATCAAGGTAATTCTTCTTATCTACGCAACTGTACTTATCATCCGCATCGTTGATATTCGTATCTCCCTGGGGAAGAATCCTTGGTACGAAAGAAAAGAAGAATATACCCACGAGGGAGAGAAAGACTTTCTCCACGAGAGAGAAGAAGAAAATTTTCACGAAAGGAAGCAAGACTTTCAACGCGAAGAGAAGCAATCTGCACATGGATATGATAATCGCGATGGATCTCACTTTTCACACCAACTCGAGCCCTACGAGTTAGTCAGTCCATTGTATGATCTCGCAAATCTAGATATAAGTCCTCAGCTTGATGTCATAAAAGATGCATATTCCGATGCGCGATATGGACTTAACAGACTGAGAGATGGTCTACCAGAACTGTCAAAACCTTCTCCAGGACTAAGTACCAAAATTCGAAGTTTTCGAGATCAGGCCTGGACAGTCTCCGAAGCTATTGGAGGGTTTTCAAAGTTCGTGGATGTTTATATAGGCACCTTTAAGCGAGAAACAGACCATCTGAGGGAACAACTCGCCAAAGTGAAACCTGGAGATGAACTTGCCAATCTAAATCTAGAAGATTGTAGAAAAGCGGGAGTAGTTTGGATCAATCATTATAAACGATTGAAACTAAAGATAAGAAATATGTGGAGGACGAAAGATGTATTTTCAAATATTTTTGACTCAGCCATTAGAGAAAGGAAAAATCTTGAAAAGGCCCTAAGAAAAGCCGAGTCCGGTATGACCAAAGAAGCAAAAAAGCAGGAGTGGAATAATTTTGATTTCCCCTCGGCATACCAATTTCTTGAACGATTTAGTCGATGCAGAACTAAAGACAAAAATTGGGGGGGCTATGAGGAAACGATCAAAGAGTTGATCATATACATTGATGTATCACTCAAGGCTGCTAATGCACAAATCGAAAATTTGATGGCAGAATTCCAGCGGATTTTAAGCGTTGACGAGAATGAAGCAGATGTGGAATCGATCGATTTTCCGACAATTTTCAATCAAATGGAGGCGCTGAATCTTACCTTTGAGAAATATGAGCGGGTCAAAGCCCTGATTGAACGCACGAGAGAGAAGTCGATGAAGGATTTGAGAAGAAGAGCTCATGATTCGAAAGATAGGATTAGATACTATAACTATGTTGCTAGCCAACAAAAAGAGCGTCTTGATAAGCAAATCATGACCCCGAGGGACAGGAAAAGGAAAGAATTTTTGCAGGAGCTGAGAGAAAGAAGAGTCAAGCAGAGTCAGAAAGGGGGGTAAGATTGTCGCATGGCTAAATGAGTCCGGAATCACCCTTGCAAACTTTCGAATTTCCAACTTTCAAAAAGCATTAAATTAAATTTCAGTAGAATCAAAATCGTTCGCTTTCGAGTCAATTGACTAAGTAAAAGTTCATACCCTAACCTACCCATCTAGTATCCACCCCATCTGTGACCACTTTCAATGCATGCATTGCTTGACAAATAAACAATCATCAGATTCTGAGGAGAGAAGAGGCAGTGAAAACAAATTCGAAGGGTACTGAAGTATGAATTAATGAGGACATCAGTGTAGGCAATAGTATACTACAGTGAAACTATGGCGCGTATTAGCATATTGATATTGCAGCTAGTACGTATAGAAAGGAGGTTATACCACTCTCGTACATATTCATATGCCTAAAGAATACTAGCAATATACTGAAATACTGGAATCCAATATAAAATATACATTCCTATCCTAATTAGGTAATAAAATTCCATTCCTGATTTCAAATTGAATGGGAATCCCTTATTTCTAGCCTAATTTGGATAGGAATGTATTATTTATATTGGATTCCAGTATTTCAGTATATTGCTAATAGTATTGAATAACTAAATGATATTGAATACTTTCAGTGGTATTGAATTCTATACCACATACGTACGTATTTCGAAAAAATTCGATACGCACCACTAAACTAACCCGTATACGAAATACGGGAAATACTATTGCCTACACTGGAGGACATCTCCAGAGTCTGATGAATAGCATTTGAAATCGCCCTCCCCATCTTATCACTAGATGCTAGATATCAGATATTTGCAACTGACTCATAGATCCCAGTAGGCAGATAGGTACATCAGCCCGTAAAGTCATAGCCAGCAAGGTACCTGAGCACAATTGACTGTATAGTCACGAGAGCACTTCTCTCTCAGACTATTTGAGCCCCTCTTGATCAATTTCCAACAGCCTGTAGAGACGTGCTCATATTTATATCCACATTTGAATCGTCACAACATTAGCACCATGAACATATCCGAAGAATTCATATGCCATTCGCAATTATAGCTAACAATCGTTTGAGCTCTTCATAACTTCGAGTCTTTCGAAACTCACTGACTAGTACGCTGGGTATATTACCACCATCCATCCATACCAATCATTCCCTTCGTCCTCCCTGAAATCCAATATCAAAGCTAAATGCTTAATAATACACGCTGAAAAGTAGAAGTAGTCTTTCTCTTTGAATCTAAAAGTAATTTTATAGTTTAGGCTTGACGTTATTTGCGCTCGCACTTGCTTCCTTGTTGACAATAATATCGCCAGATTTTGGTCCATTGCCGAAGAAGATGACTTCTACCGTAAGATCATCACTGTACATTTGTCAGCATGGTTTCGTGGAAGGAAACAGCTTAAAGAGCGTAACATACCGGTATCTTCTAGAATAAGGGGCAGGCAGTGACAGTAAAGCGCAAACCATATCCTTATCCTTTCCACCTAATGCATTTCGTACCAAATGTGTGGCGACATTTTTGTCCTCAACAACAAATCTATCACTTTCAGTGACGCCCCATTGACGTTGTCGAATTGGGGCTTTTTGGCCACTGTTACCATCATTTTTACTTGTTTCTACAGGTAATCCTTTTTGCGACGCTGTAAACATTTTAGTCCATGAACTTGCGGAATTTCCATTCGAATCGGCTGAATGTTTATCAATCCATTGTCCAACCAAACCGACTACTTCTTCGTTTGAGAGCATCTCCCAGAGTCCATCTGTAGCCATTACAACAAAGTCTCCACTCTCCGGTTGAATCTTGGTAGTTGTTACTACAGGTTCCGCAGTGACGTACGGTGGGGTTCTGAGAAGGCTGGATGGTGTTCTCCCAAAGAATGATTCCTTTAGCCTCTCTGAAACTTGACGAGTCCATTTATAAGTTGCGTCGCCGAATGCGCGAGTTGGTTCGAGACCTCCCAAGACACGGCCATTTCTAATGACGTGATCCTCTCCAGGATGTAATTTCCTCATCCTGGCTTCTTCATCTTGATTGCTACCAGTTTGATCGATTGATAAAGCTTTAGCAGTCCATTTTCCACTATCGCTTCGTCTTCCTAAGATTGCGCGTGAATCTCCTGTGCATGCAACGCGCAAGAGTCCGGTGTTGGTATCATAGAAGGAAAGGAGCGCGCAAGATCCTGATAATGCTGGAGCTAAGAGTTCTGCTGCGACCAATTTCGAATTGCCTTTCATTACTTTCTGCGCACTTTCATGTACAATCTCATTGTCGAGTCGAGTGAAGCCGGTCTTCATCGCAGCTTCAATGGCTTCGGTAGAAGGGTTTGGAGAGGCTTGGTAGGTAGAATTGAGTTCTCTAGCGACGTAATTGATCAATACTTGTCGTAATTTCGCAGAAGTAGTCCAGCCTCTGTTAAGATGTTAGTGAGTGGTTGTAAATTGGAATAGAAACATACGAGTGTCCATCGAAAACACCCCAAAACATCCAATCCGAGGGTGATTGTCCGGCAATTGCTTCATTGGTTTCAATAATCTTTTCAGAATGATCATCCTCGATTGGGTCATTGCTTGGAATTTGAACGACATCGTATCGCACAACTCCCTTGCCACGACCGACAAAATAAGATTCCTCATTTCGTCTCAATTTTGAAGTTGCTTGCTCTGGTGTTAACATTTCTAAGACTTTTCTTCCAGAATCGTCGGTATCCTTTGAAATTGGACCTTCAATGGTGTCAGTATAAAGACCTTCTGTGCTGACAATTACAGCCTTTCTAGCATCCGCGGTCTCTTCGGGCCCGATCGGTGTTGAATAGATAGTGCTAGTTGAGAAGCCGCGGGATTGTTGTACTGATGAAGTTGGACTGGCTTCTTGAGTGAGAGTTCCGTCTTCGTTGTATGCATACCATGCGCCATATCCAACCAAGCCTGAAACGAAGGCCAGACCAAACCTTCGCCAATACATCGAGGCTGGGATGACGGAACTATGAAGTGGTGAAGCTGATGATGCTGATGATTTGGGAATAGGAGCTCTACCGGAAGAATATCGTGCACTTAGAACATAGTTTGATGGTTGAAAGATGCTTCCACGGGTGCTACGAAGAGCAGGTAATTGTCTCGCCGTGCGAATCGCTTTTAAGGCTACTCGACGCATTGGAAATGAAGATTTCTAGTATTTAGGAAAATCCAAAGTTTTGAGTTCCTGGGGGGGTTTAGCTAAGCTTGATTTCCGAGATAACGCTTTGGTAGTACCCCGGATATTGCCAGGACCGTGAGAGGGGTGGTTGGGCGGACGGTATTGATATGTATTTGATATTACGACAATTGAGAGGATGATAATGGTAGCAGGTAGAGGAAAGGTGATAAAGACCAAAAGACGACGACCTAGTATTCTTCTTATCAATATAAGATACTGGGTAGGTGGGTATTGGTAGATATTCTTAATATTTTGTTGAGCAAGTACAACCGTGAACGACTACGATACCAGGCACTACTATATACAAGACAAGTACCACTTTACTAGGTCTGTGTATCAGAGTCTGCGAGGTCTTCCACGGTTGCTCTTACCAGCAGTAAAATGGATCTGCTCTCTGCTTAATAAGCCGAAACATGACCAATCAAACAATTAGGTAAGCAATCTCTATCGGTCCACCAGGTGGTCTACCAGTCTATCAACCCCCACTAGCTCGAGACTATGAGATGTAGGTAATAAGTGGTAAGTGAAGCAAATGCGTCATTCCCCGTTCAATTTTTATTGGAACAGATGAATGATTCTAGAATAGAATAGGACCGCTATTTTTCACAATCGCATTTATTGCCACTTTTATCCTCACAGTTCTACGCATACATCTTGATTTTCATTGCTATTATTCAGATAACAACTGCCCTCCCCCTCCCTCATTATGTCGAGTAGACAATTACGAAAGTTACAACAACAACGCGAGCTGGAACAGCAAGCCAAACTTCAAGCTCAAGAGGAAGCGGCAGAAGAAGAAGAAGAATCCGATGAAGAGCCACAACCTTCACAATCAAAACCCAGCCTGTTTGCGAATTTTGCAGCGTTAGAAGACTTAGAAGACGATGACGAATCGAAGGGCATTGATGATGATGAAGAACCGGCGGAAGAAGAATTGAGCGAACCTTCTCCAGTTGTGACCGCGAAGAAACCCAAAAAACCAAAGAAAAAGAAGAAGGCGAAGAATGCTGGAAAAGGGAAAGACTCCGCAAAAGCTGCTGAAGCTAAACCGAAGAACGATTTGGATGACATTGACCAAGCTTTGAAAGAGTTGAATTTGAAGAATCCAAATGCTACGAATATGACGAGTTCAATCGAAGTGGATGAAGAATACGAAAGAGTTTGTTTTCTCTTGGGTATCAACACGCAGCATCTCAAAGTTGCAAACGAAATGCGAAGCTTATTTGGACGAGCTGCTACAGAGCCAAATGAAGATCCTGGAGGACCTACTGGCCGCGGAGCAAGAAGAAGGCAACATAATCAAGAAATGGATTTGGAGACAGTCTTGAAGGGACACCATCAACCTGGCAAAGGTCTTCCAGAACTTACCTTGCGACGTAACCTCTTTATACAGGGGAAGGATGAGTGGCCAAAATCTAGCTCGGGTGGATTAACGATGGAAGTCGTCGAAAACCAAGATGTGGTTGATGGCACCATAGAATACAGATTTGTACATGATCAATCATACCAATCTGTGCAGGCAACATTTCAAGGTCTGGTTGAAATGGGTGATCCCCAAAATCTTATTAGATTCATTGTGAGATATCGTGAGTACAATCTATACTTCACGTAGCTTTGACTGACCCATGATAGCGTACAACATTTCACTCCTTCTCCAAGTCAGCAAGATTGCCAAAAATCAAGGAGACCATTCTCTAGCATCGGATCTTGTTGAGAGAGCTCTTTTTACATTTGGTCGAATATCTTTATCATCCTTTGGTACTAAATTGGCCAAAGGTAAAGCTCGATTAGATTTCAGTAGACCAGAGAATCGAGAACTTTGGTTGGCTGGATATCACTACATAAAATCTCTCATCATGAAGGGAACTTACCGAACTGCTTTTGAATGGGCAAAACTGCTCTTGAGTTTGGATCCCGAAACTGATCCATATTGCATGAGATGGATGATACACCATCTTGCTTTACGTGCACATGAGTTTCAGTGGCTTTTGGACTTTGCCGCCAGTCGAAATATACCCGAGTGGGCAAACACAATAAGTTACGCCAAACCATCATTTGCTCTGGCCGCGCAACAACTTAAGGACGCGGTTAAATGTAGAAGTCTTCTATCGGAATCTATGCAACAGGTACCTTGGCTGTTCTGTCGACTATTTCAAGAACTAAACCTTGACGCACCTCCGTCAATTTGGGGATCGCAACCACCAACTGCGTCTGATACTTTCTTCACGCAACTATATGTTCTCCAAACAAAAGACCTTTGGAATACTACCGAGTCTACTGCATTACTCATGGAAATTGCGCATACAATTGATAAGCCCGATTTATCGGAAGCCCCCCTCCTCTCGGATCTTAGGGAATTAAATCTTGATGTTGTAAGATTTGTTTATTTGGAAAATCAACCAGATTTGATGAGTCTCGTTCCATCAAATCTCCTCCACAGAAGCAACAACTCAGATTCAGATCCATTACCACCTTATTCGAATACCATCTCCTACCCATCTCAAAGAAGAACTCTGGGAAATGAGCACGAACCCGTTGAAGATAGATTTAATGATCCGCTCGCGGCTCTCGCACGACTCATGCCAGGGTTTCCAGGATTAGAAGCATTCCGAGCCCGTGGAGTAGGGGATGACGATATCGATGGTGGCGGTGAATCAGAGGATGAAGCAGACGCACTTGAACGATTAAGAAATTTTGCGGAAGGATTACCGGAAGGGGAACTGGAGGGAGACGCTGAAGAAGGATCAGAAGGACAACCACGTGGACCATCACTTTCTGCAGCTTCAAGAATTTTGCAATATCTCGGCTTTTGGAGAACACCGGAAGACTTCGACAACTCCGAATATGAGGAGGACGACAATGATTCAATACCTGCATTGAGTCACCCAGAGGGACAAGATGTGGACCATAGGCAGCCACGTGTTGAAGATGCGGACGACGATGAAGAAACGCCTGGTTTGACTTGAATGGAAATATTCGCGTCTGTATATTACAGCTAGAGCAATTTTAGAGTGAAGAGTATGATCTTTCTTCAGCGCAAATCAGATGTGTATTACTCGGACCTGTGATACCAGTGCGCACAAACGTTGAACCTGCATTTACAATTGCATGTTGTAGGTTATGATGCACGTTCAGAAGACGTAATTGTGTAATTAAATAGCTTCAACCCCAAAGCGTTTTCAGATAACCCTTCTTACCCATTGCCTCCTGTGATACCCGCTCCCAATATTAAACCATCAATATCGATATTAGGAAAGCGGGATTCGACCCCTTGAAAAACATGCTCACAATATCCCATAACATCTCACACCACCGAAAAAGCAATATCCGTCCGTGATGGTACTCCATTCCATAATCCCCGTTTGTGTGATGACCACTCGACTCAGCCAGTCAATGAATGATCTGTTCTGAGCAAGTTTCATCCTTGTTTGGCGCCAGGCCAGGGTCCATCGGCTTTGTGATTTCTAAGCGAGCGCATTGCGTTATCAGTGCAGGTGCCCCTCAGCCTTTTCGCAGCTTCGAAAGTGTTATAAGGATCCGTCGTCGCATCCTCTTTCTCTCGTTACTTTCCATACAACAATAAACTCGATTTTTTACTTTAATACATCGCATACCTACGTCTACGAATTAAGATTCATTCTTTGTTCATAACCTCATTTACATCCTCGAAGATACGATAAGAACAGACACATAAATCAAACATAATGGCAGACACCGGAGTAAACACACCAGCTTCTTTGATCGCAGAGGAGGGCGAACATACATACAAGTTCAACATTTCGATGAGCTGTGGAGGATGCTCTGGGGCTGTTGATAGAGTTTTGAAGAAATTGGATGGTGAGTTTTGTTTTGTTTTCTTGTTCTCTGATATCATACTCTTCTCTGTTTCGCGCAGGTAAAACATGGGCGTCGCGCAGCTTGGTGTCGCATATCTATCAACTATCTTGATCATAAATCTTAGCATAAAAGAAGATCACTGACGAAGAGAATAGGTTGTCCGCGCATACGAAGTCAACCTCGAAGGTCAAACCGCAACGGTCATCGCAAAGCCGGAGTTGGAATTCGATACTGTGTTGGAGAAGATTGCAAAGACGGGAAAGAAGATTAATACGGCGGAGGCGGATGGTGTGAGCAAGGATGTTGGTGTTAAGACTGAATAAGGGGTTAGAGAGAAGGAGAGGAATGGATTTTCGAGGGTTTGATGGGTAGATGATGGCGGATGATGGGATACACATACGTTACGTATGGGGTAGAAAGATACTGGTAGATTGAGATACAGATTGCGCGGGTATCTAATAGATGTGGAGGATCAATACGAAATTATGACCTACATTTACTGTGTTCTGGTAATGTTCGGTATGGTGTGCTGGGTGTTACTTTACATTTCCTTTCAGTACAATTTCCGTGTGTCATATCAAGGACTGGACGTCGAGAGGGGAGAGAATCTCGCTGATAAGACGATGACTGGTAGTACCAGCCCATTCCCTCAAGAATATAGACGGCTCTACGAGTCTGCCTTCTCCGAAACACGACCACCAAAAACAATTGCTATGAATAATGGGTCGCGCCAAATTTTTACTGCGGATACATATAATATGTGATCACGCGATCTTCGCGAATGGGAGCAGTATATAAATGCTCGTCGCTGCACTTAAAATAATTAACAGCTACTCTCAGGATTGAAATACAGAGCCAGGGAATAATCAATCACTGTGGTGATCTATCTTGTAGCATTTATTCCTACGAGTAATGCATAGTATTTTGCTTGATTCTGCTGTCTTTGTTTGTGCTCTCCCCCCTCCCCTGAGTGTTGCTTTTGTCGTTGAGAAATTATTTCTACTGTCGTTTAAAGTAAGATACCTAAGATATTACATTTACTACTCTCATCTCTTCCCAATATCATCCCGCAATCAAGTGGATGTATGTGAGATAGGTTGCGAAAACAAGTGCTTGCGCACCTTGCGTACGGATTTGGATGCGGAGATGAGTTTACGATGTATTGGCTTTGCAACGCAGACTTTGGGCCTAGAAATACTATCGCTGGGTGCTGAAGTGTTTTTTGCTGTTTGTGTATGTATGTATGTTTGGAGAGGTCTTTTATGTGAATGGTTTGAGGATGTGTGGGGTTGGATGGTAATGGGGTTGATAGAGAAGGGGGGGGGGGGGGGGGGGTTGATATTCACTGGGCAGAATCTGAAGCTACCTACCTTCGTATTTCGCTCTTCTTGGGAAGATTCAAAATTGAAGGGCATGATAATCGTCTCTTGAGAATCATAATCAATGATCTATCTAGATTTCTGAGTGAATTCACGATCTCCAAATTTGGTTCCCACCTTCTTCGATGATTCACATACCAAACCGTCAACGCGTGCTTAATTTTTCCTTTGCTTTCTTGTGGATGGGATTCACCGATAATGAGAATGAATAAGATGGGGTAAGATATTTCCTTGTTTAAAATTCAAGGGGGAGAGAGAGAAGCTTTTATATCTACATATATATATTGCGTCAACGAGAAAGGAGAGTTCCATGTTTGTCGGACAGAAACTTGTGGATCGTTCTAGTGGGAGATTTGGTGGGTTGTGAAACTGGGCTTGAGGATTTTTGTATGGGAGTGAGTGGTGTAGGTAATGTGCGGAGGGTAGAGAAAGGAGAGATGATGAGATGACCAGGGACGGGGGAAATTTGGGTCGGACGGCGTGCGTTGATTGTTGTTGTTGTTAGTGTTGTTTTGTTTTATTTTTATTGGATTTGAATCTTTTTTGTCGCTGTTGTTTTCTTCATCTCAAAATGGCAGTCACAAATTATTAAAATCGCATCGGACTAGATACTGAAAAGCAGCAGTCGAGAAGAAACAGATATTTTATGCAGAACATTCACTGCAAGTCGCGAAGAATATAGCAGATGTCGTTTCGAGCGCTGCTCCAGTTCATACTTGAGAAGAGATAGCATGAGACGTTACTTTATACCTGCTCACGATTGAAAATACTCCTCCTAGAGAATATTAGTAATAGATGTTATAGTGTATGCACGATTCTCCGAACTTACAGCCTCTCTTTCGTGTTTTGCCTTGACAGCGACAATGACTCTGGTCCATTCTTCCTCTTCCCGTGTATTTCCTCTTTCCGTGTATTGATTTGATTGTCTATTTAACCTACCGGGCGGGGGCTGCATTTCGATCTATCGAGTTGTTCTCAAAGAGTGAATGATTCGCTGGGTTGAGTAACTATTCATACCGAGGTACTCGGTGATAGAATACTAGGTGACTAGTTTGCGTTTTCCTTGGGAAGTGTGTTATTCAATTTCTGCTCAATATTCTCCCAGTGCTCAGTACTACCTATATAAGAGACATAGGAAGAGATCTTAGACTCCCTATAATCTCCTCTAGCCATTTTATAGGTCTGTCGCTCAAGGATTCCTGTGCGGAGAAATAGAGCTTACTTTAGGATTGTTGGGGGGTAGCGTTGTGAGTTACTATGTATTGCAGATTTTGATCTGGGGGAGTTGAGATTTTGATATTGTTGTTGTTTTAGCCGGTGTTGTCTGTTGTGTTTTCCCATAGTTGTCATTCTGTCCATAATCGACACTTCCATTCACTTATCATCACTGCACTTCATACAATTTGCCACCATACCGTACTGGTGGATAGCTAAGTAGAGAGATATAATAGTATACCAGATTCTTCCATTCTATTGGTCCGGTGCTTCAAATACACATGAGTCCATGAGCTTTTTTCTTGGGCCTCTTCCTATACTAGATTATGGGTTTTCGATTGATGTCCGAGAAAGCCTTTTTGTACTTGGATGTTGATTTTTTTTTTGGTGAGATATAGATTTTGTATTGTCTTGAGCGGCTATCGCTGGGGGGGGGTTGGGGTGGGTAGATGGGAGATGTTTGATATCGCTACATATCATTCCGAGATCTTACTTCATTTGCTGGTATATAAAAATCTCTAATCTTGAATTCAAATTTATTAACTCGATCAGCTACGCGCAACAAAAGTTCAGGGGGATTTCGCTGCGCTGCGCCTTTTGGAAGCAGTCTTGTCTTCGAGCTTGGCGGCTGTATTTCTGTTCATTGGGTTTGAGTTACTAATTCAGCCGTATGTGAAGTGCGCAGTCGCTCTAGGGCGATTCAAAGCAGGTGAAAGTAATTCTTCCTGTTGTCGAAGCGTTTTTGCTTTTGTTTTCGTCAATCTTTGTCATTTACTGTTGTTCATTTACTGCCTTGACAAAATTCCCATATCCACTCAAGGAGGCAGAATTACCAAACTGCCACGGTATCATGGACTTTTTCTCGGGGAATTCAATTATCTTCGCGGGATTTTTTTCTTTCGGTCTGTCGCCATGGCATAAAAACATTGTCCGTGTATGCTCGCTGCTCTCGCTGCAAGTTCGGAAGGGGGGTTTATATTCGTTTCTTGGGTTTATTCGAGTGGATTTCGTGTGGATGAGTAGATTGCCATTTTTGTCTGTTCAAACAATGCGAGTCTTGGAATCGGTCAGCGACATTTTGTCGACGCCCCAGAGTAGCGGCCTCAAACTTGAGTACTTAACACCCGGATCAAAAGACTGAAGATAATAAAACAAAGCTTGTACTCCTCTCAATAATTGCAAGCAATAAAAGAAGTCTCGCATTTCTTCGACTTGGTCTTGCAATTCATACAGAAAGGGGCTTCTGGAACCATCCCCTGTCTATTAGTTGATTTATGCTTGAATCTCCACATTTGATCATCTTATCTTTTTATATCAATGTGTCGTTTAGTTATCGTTGTTTTCAATTCTCATTTGGGTTGCCATTCTGACTATTCTAGTCAGTGATTGAATATGATTAGTCTACCATCTCAAGTTCTCTCGTTCTCTTTATGTCAGTAGAGGCTCAAATCATTTTAAGTTCATTGAGAGGATCTAGGTACAATCTACTGTAGCTGTGTTGGTCAACCCTTGATTCTATTCGCAGAGTGTTTGAGATTTACTTGTTCTTAGGGTGCCCGTGATTACAGCGTGTTTTTACATCTCAATCCTGCACCGAAAAGCGCTACCACCCGAGCCACCATCAGCTTACCTCCTCCGGTGGGTATGCCTTCAGCATCCAGCAGCTTTTTCACATCATACCTTCAAGCGTTGAAATCTTCAAATGAACACAGGTAATATCCATTCCTGATATTCCCCTTTCCATCACCATTTTCCACCATATAGATCTCAACACAAGCATCCTATATAAGCTCTCAAACCCACGTCGTTGTCACATACGACCATAGACTGAAGAGACTTGGCATCCCGTCCGCTCTGCCACACACAAGCTTCAGATCGGTAGATTAGTAGTTGGGTGGGTGACCACCAGCGAATCCCTACTGTTGTATGTTTTTTTGGCAATTTTTCTTTTTTGGAAAATTTTGAGAGGAGGGCGACGGAGGGGTGGGCTTCCTTCGTGCTCACTACCTACTATCGCTTGCAGTTGACGATTGAGAAGGGCACAAGAGAGAAACTACTCATTAAGAGCCACTCTTTTGTACACTCGGTATGTGTTAGCTTGTTTGTTTTACTTTGCGATGCCTGAAGTGGTCATGAACGTCGGCGGAATTGAATGAAGATAGGTTATGCAAAACGACTTCTGCCACAATGCAAGATCATGAGCTAGAAGAACGCTTGTGTGTTCGCCATTTTCTGCTTCTATTGGAAATGTAGAAACGATGAGTTAAAGATCAATGTATAGCGTGAGAAAAAGTTATGTTGGACATGATTTTACTAATGATTTTACACCATTGACGGGAGTCGATAACTGGGTGAGCGGCTAGACGAGGAAGAGATTCAAAAAATCATCGAATCATTACAATAACCAGACGATAATGTCGTGATCAACCAGACTGGTATTCGGATTATGATCGGAATCAGTTCAGTCAGAGCACACCCTTCCTGCCGAAACTTCGACATCAATATTGGCTCGTGTGTCCTTCCCAAAAGCCTACTGCATGCTCGACTGTAAGGTCATCAAGATAGCTTCAATGCCCACAATGATTGTGATTGGCAGATGAAACAATAGGATAAATCAAGATAGAACAGATGCACGTAGATGATCCAAGAAAGATAAACAGTAAAGGCATGAACAATGTGGGACTTGGTTGGACTTGACACTAACGAATGTGACCTAACAACCTAGCATGGCAAATTCCCTGGCAACTTGACTTCAATTCTATTCCGCTTTCATAAATCATGAGTTCAAGCTGTAGACAAAGTCTTCGTGGCAGGATTCAAGGATGCTGGAAGTGTAAGCCTTGCAACTACCCAAAAGAACATTATCCCTTGTGCTTTCCAGATGCCATGATAACAGTGCATAGCGGACTCTCACTTGTTAGACTCATCAATTGTTGCAATATTGTATAATAATAATAATAATAATAATAATGGCAAAAGGGTCCTCAAACTGCTATAAAACAAGAAAAACCTTATTCTAGTACAGTAATTCATAACTTATTTGCCACGAACCCTTATTAAAATCGTTAACCCTTTATTAATAAATAGCGCTTGCATTTAAAACGTTCCCTTAGCACCGGATATAACGGCAACGGCCCACTTCCGAACCTCGGTAGTTTCCCCGCAAAAGTTACCCCAGAAATGAACATGATAAGGCTCTCTAATCAACTCCATTTCTCATTTATAAATCTGTACCGCAACTTCACAATTCGTTTCTTGCACGATTGAAATCACAGTAATAAGTGCAACTTGTTCTGAATCATACATAATCTCAAAATGGTTATCAAGCGCAATGAACCATGTTACGTCCTAGGCGTCGGCATGACCAAATTCATCAAACCAAGGGGTAAAGTCGATTACACTGAGCTTGGTTTTGAAGCTGGTATCAAGGCTATGCTTGATGCACAAATCAATTACGACGATGTTGACCAAGGAGTGGCATGTTATTGTTATGGAGATTCGACCTGTGGACAACGTGTCTTTTATCAATTCGGAATGACCCAGATCCCAATCTACAACGTGAACAACAATTGCTCAACAGGCTCAACAGGATTGGCTTTGGCAAGAAATGTCATTAGTCATGGAGGTGCGGACTGTATATTGGTGGTTGGGTTCGAAAAGATGAATCCGGGTTCGCTGCAGAGTTTCTGGAATGATCGTAGTAATCCGACTGGCACAACGGGAGAAATGATGCGTGCCACTAGAGGCGTCACGAATGCACCCGGGGCTGCGCAAATGTTTGGTAATGCAGGTCGGGAATATATGGAAAAGTATGACTATCACTACTCGATATCTGATGGCGTAGCAAAAAGCTAACTCCTCATCACAAATAGGTATGGTGCCAAAAATGAAGATTTCGCAGAGATTGCGAGAGTGAATCACGAGCATTCACAACGAAATCCATACTCTCAATTCCAGGATGTATATACTCTGGAACAAGTCATGAAAGCTCCCATGATTCATGAGCCTCTCACAAAATTGCAATGCTGTCCCACATCAGATGGAGGAGCCGCAGCTGTTCTAGTTTCACAAGATTTCCTCGATGCCCGCCCACATCTAAAAGAACAAGCTGTATTGATCGCAGGTCAATGCATGGCTACTGATGCTCCATCTTTATTCTCCAAATCCGCAATCGATCTTATGGGTTTTGAGATGACACAATTTGCAGCAAAGACTGCCATGGAGGAAGCAAAGGTCACACCTGCAGACATCAAGGTCTGCGAGTTGCATGATTGTTTCTCAGCCAATGAGATGATTGTTATCGATTCTTTGGGTCTTTCCCCACCAGGAAAGGCTCATGAAATGGTGAGAGCGGGAGATATTACATATGGCGGCAAGATGGTCATCAACCCCTCCGGAGGATTGATCTCAAAGGGTCATCCACTCGGAGCCTCAGGAATTGCACAGTGCGCTGAGCTTGTCTGGCATCTTCGTGGATGGGCAAACAACCGATTGGTTGATGATACGAGAGTAGCTTTACAACACAATCTTGGATTGGGTGGCGCCGTTGTGGTGACTGTCTACAAGCGTGCCGATGGAAAAACAAATGCTCCTGTTGATTCTGCCGAAGTTGGAAAGAAGAATAAGTTGGGGTACAATCCAGCTGTCGAGGCAAAGGGATTCACAGAGCAGCAAGCTACCAGTGTGAGGAGTAAGACGAAGACTAGTGCTTGGGCTTTGGGTGACGTGGAGAAGAAGGTGGAAGCGAGGTTTTGAATTTCCGAAACATGTTCTTTAATGATCCAATACCCTTGTTTGCAATTATAGCTCATCATATCAATCTTTCAACCTTCCTTAATTACATTGCGTACTTTGACTATCTTCTTCATTCATTAAGTGTGATAAGGTCGTAGTTCACTGGCGGGAATTGCTCTCTCCGACATCCTTCATACATGATATACATGGTCGAGATAATCGACGGCGCTTATAATCATTACCGATTTTTTTATCAGGAATTTATCATTTTCAATTAATGTGCATTCCTACTGCTATTCTTGCTTCCATCCTTCATAACCTATGGAGCATTTTCGAGTATTAGAAACACTGCAGAAAACATGTCACGAATTCTTAAGCTACATACCTCCTTCTCACTCACCCCTCAGGGTATGCTAGATATTCGGTTTTTTTCCGATAAGCAGATCAATTCTTCGTCGCCTCTATTTTATAGCCAGGACGTGGAATTCTAGTGGTGTATATCAAATACGGCGTTGGGTTTCTCAAGCTGTGCATTAAGTTTCTCCCATCTTCGTTCTGAGTAGTGAATGCTTTTTGAGGAGACATTTTGAAATTATAAGTAGCGCGTATCTCGTTCTATATTGATTCTTTAAACTTTTTATGAGCTGCTGATAACCTTAAAAGGTTCTTGTATATAGTAAACTATGCTGCAAGGAATTTCAGCTTCTGTAGCACGTCTCTGGTGAAATAAATTATGCTACCCTAATCCATGCTTTCTATTCTAGAATAGTAGGTTTATTTTAGATAGACATATTATAATATTGACCACCATTGAAAGTGGCTGTTGTCACGCACTACCTTTCTCACTATCGATGATCCGTCTTTTCAATCATGCTTGTCGAAATCATATACTCAACACGTTATCAATCAATAATTCAGTATTAGAGTCCAGCGAGTGACGCACAAATTGACGAAGATAATCTAGTAATGTGGACAGAAAGTATTCAGCCAGGCTTGAGTTCCTCGGTTGTTATGTTCTGGTATGGAACGGGTGTTTGAGGGGCAGATTGAAGGGGGTTGATACCATTGAAAGATTATATTAAAGGGATGGTGTAATCGAAACTGCCTTGCTGCCAGATCCTATTATTATCATTACCATAATCAGTTTGTTGATGGTCTCGTAGGTCTTGAGATGCATGTGATTCTCTTTTAGAAAGACCGTGACATACTGTTGTGATCATGTTGCTAAATTCCACGTCGTCTGCGTACAATTCCTTCTCGATAATGCTTGGATGTTGTGGTTTTGCTGTTATAGAATTTATCAGAAAAGTAAGAACATTTTATAGTCTAACATTTATGTGAGCTTGGAATGCAAAAAGGTGGAGTTACCGCTTTTTGCTCGATGATCAAAATTGTCATTTTACACACTCGCTCGGCAGGTTCTGGATCCAGAATACTAGAAGAAAAATAAATTATATAAATGATCTATAGGTTCCCGTTTCGGTACTCAAATAACGTTTTCACAAGATGGTCATTCCTTACTCGGATCGGGGAAAATAATCAAATCTGTCATTTCATTCGATCCCTCAAATTGGACGTACACTTTTTGGTTCAAAAAGCAAGTATCTATATCGCGGCTTGTTGTCAAATTCTACTGGAATCATCACTACTACCGTAACTATTAAACGTCTTACCTCCATCTCTGCTATCGAAGATTTCCGCTGCGAAGATATGACTTTATTGCTATATTTCTTCCGCTCTTATACCGCTCACAAATAATCTACTCGGAGATTGGAACTGACTGAGACTAGAGTGGAAATTGAGCTCCTAGAGCAGACGGATGAAATTCAAATGCAAAGTTGATTGCTTTGCGCAATTTGATCTGTCATTTTACGGCAATGTCTTTGTTGCATGAGATTTTGCTGAATTAATAAGCGTTTGATCTTTGGATTTAGAAAAGCATTATTTGTGGCTTGTTTTTGATTTGATGTAGAATCAAGTCCGAAGTTACAGTTGGTGCATCTACTAGTGGTTCCACACATTGTTTCGAGCGACTACTTAGGAGCAATCCTTACAGTCTTCGCATATCCTACATACTCATCTTCGCCTAGTAAGATCCCCTCATATGCGTTGCAAAGCTCTTTTTATAGATGAGAAGCTCTGTAATATCTATCGTAGCCAGACACTATCTTTTAACCCGGAATTGTGATCGCTTTTGAAATTGGACGAGTTATTGCGTTTAAGCAAGCCAGTCCATTCATTCGCATACTAAATTTCTCGCCATCACGGAAGTGCACTCTCACTATCATTGAAAATTATCAACTTTTATCTAGTCGCCATTCTTCCATTTCAGCTTTTTTTTCTGCTTCGAAAGTAAGAAACAGGGTTGATCTTTCGGAAAAGGCCATCATACAAATTTTCACTACTCCGCACCTCGATTTGCTCACGCCAGCGTGTAATTGATTTTGAGTTTCGACTCTTGAGAGCCTCTGGTTCTTTTATATCCAGTTATATATGTATCTGTAGTACTGGTGCATTCGTGACACACGTGCAATGACGGAATATACACTGAAACCATGTTCTATTTTTCTCCATTCATCTCATTCTAAATTAGGCTCTCTTGAAGAAAACAGAAAGAAAGAGAGATAGCCCTATATAAGAGACTTGCAGTAATGAATAGGTCTCTTCAAGCCCTCGAAAAAAGACGTATGTGTGGACTACCTTAGAATAAAATGCGTGCATCGTGATTGAATATTAAGAATGGATTCTGGCTCTCATTCCAGTCATGAATGGGTTCTCTAGAAATGGCATCAACTTCACTATTGGTTGTCATTTCAAAATTACAATATCAATTTTCGTAAGTAGAGCTGTTTATTGTCAATAAAGATGCAAGTGTTGATGCCGCAGCTGATATGCCGCGCACAAAGTGACAAAGACAAAAAAAATTGACTCGACATCCATATGACTACTCAATTTCAAAATCTTGGTTTATGAGATTGTAAATCTCGAGCACCTGTCAGTGGAATGGCGGTGATCCATTCTAAGTTTTGCTTTATCAGATTATGGAAAATGGAGAACCTTTTATAGTGGAATCTTGAAATCGAGTCAATGATCTTGACTCGCCATATTCACCACTCCCCACCCGCCCCGAGATCACATTTGTTTAAGGTATCACGCAAGGTCACCCTGTCGCAATAGTTTCAGATACGTGTGATGAAATATATTTGCTAAATTGATGCTATCTAATCCACCCAGAAGAAAAAGTGTCTTTACCTCGCGCAAAACACACCATTTCGAATCGCTGAATTCTACTTCAAAGCCATGCATCTTAATAAACATCATAAAAATAAACCAGATGGAGTTCTAAGTCTCTCATCCAAATCAGGAAGTTGCAACAGCATCGCCCATTCTTTCCATCCCCTCCAACCTCTCCAAAACTGCCTGACTCCAAACCGTGTGCTTATGATCCTCCCCCAGCACCCTCACTTGTATATTCCACGCTCTCTCATGCCACTCAGTTGCTCTTATTCTGCACTCCACATCCCCACTATCCATACCCATCTCCTCCCACACCATCCCAATATCATTCATCGTCCACAACGTATCAGGATTATCAATTCCCAGTACTCTGACTCTTCTCTCATACATATCTTCCATGATTTCCAATGCTTCTTTGAATTTGCCTTGCGCTTTCAATACTTTCGCGATATCTGATCTCGTGCGAATGGGATGAGGATGATCCTCCCCCATTAACGTGATTTGGCCATTGAGTGCAAGCTGATGGAGAGCGAGTGCTTCAGGGTAGCGACCTTGGAAGCGGTAGCACCGAGCGAGTGTATTGAGGGTCCAAATTATTTGTAAGTCCGTCTCGGGAAGAAATTGGCGCAGGATATTAAGGGCGCGGAGATGGTATTGTTCGGACTCTGAGTATCTCTCAAGATGTCGTGTTTCTCGACCCAATTCGTTCAATATTAATGCAAGATCGAGATGATCAGGTGGAAGATACTTCTCCTGGATGGATAGAGCCTTTAATTGCGTGCTCAAAGCAAGATTAGTAAGATTCTTTTGGTCATACATTATTCCAAGACTATTTAAAAGCCAGGTGGTGCGGACAGATTCTGGCGATGGGTCTCCTGGAAGTCCTTGGGCAAGGGCCTTTTCGAACATATCAATTGCCTGGTCGACTTTCCCTGCCATTGTGAAAGCCCGTGCCAGATCCCGGACAATGAGATCGCGCTCAAAATTTGAGATAGATTCTGCTTGGCCGAGATCCAGTTGGTCCAGTTCAATCAGTGCTCGTTGTATATCAGCTAAATCCTCCGCAGCAAAAGTGGTAGTAGAGCTTTCTTTGTGATTCTTCCAATCATTGACCTGTTTCTGATACTTTGCTATGCGTTGTAAGGGAAACGACTGTCTATTTGAGAGAAGAAAACGTAGGATCCATGTCGATCGCGCTAAAGACGAATCCGCAAATTTGTCATATTTTTGGCATACTTTCTCTTCAAATGACGCTGACGATAAATGGTGACACCAGTTTTCTGTAGAATATCTCGCTAACGGATATTGAAAGTCATCAACCTGGGTGTTATGTATAACATCTGGTAGTGAGAGGCTAGCTAGTACCACTTCGGCAATAGTCTGGTGTGCGTAAGACTCGGTCATGAGAAACTGAGTTGCTTTCGCTGACATGGAGTCGAAACTATGGGACCTCCATAAGAAGTCGCGGACTGATGTATAAACTGGATGAAATGTATCTTTCTCTGGTCGATACTCAATCAAAGGAGCGCATAGATCGAGCACGGCATCTTTAAAAGGCCGTTGATCTTCTATAAACGCCTCCTTTGTCTCATCTCAAGAGAGAGCACACTGAAGCTCTTTCCAAGATAGTGGTCTTGTTGTACAACAAACCCACAAAAGAATTCTACGAGCAAGATCCCGTCTTCGAATACTTTGTGAACCTAATCTCTCGAGTATCTGACCATAAAATCCGTTCAGTCCTTCGGGTATTCTTTCAATAGCATCCAAAACACTCTGTGAATCAATTGCTTCGGCTAGACTTTGAATTCCCAGAGCAGCATATAGAAACATACCACCAGAAGCATTCGATAGTTTTGAGAATGCCTGGTCTTGTGCCCCTGTACCTTTCCCGGGTAAACTATCCAATGATTTCGTTAAAAAGTTATCAATATCTGGCTGTACTAGAGAAGGTTCCAACTCTATCATTGCATACGACACTCTCTCTAGCTCAAATGCAATAGCAGGAAGATTGCGAGAAAAAAGAGCTAACCGAACATTGTGCGAGCCTGTTGCAATATCCGAAAATGTTTTTGAAAGATCACCTGGATCACTGCATTCATCTACTCCATCAATAATAATGTAACAAGATGGAGATTCTTGCAACACGTGTTTGATGACGGACATAATATCGTCTGCAGTTGATAAATGCTGTCTTCCATACTTCCTCGCTCGTTCATACGCTTCGTTGACTCCGCTTGGAAAGTCATGCAGCGGTGCAATTAACTGTGCCAAAACTGATCCGAGTATCTCTAACGTCGATCTTTTTCTGGCATCGCCGGAATCACAGTAAAAGTAAACCACAGAGGCTATTTCATTCTCCGATCTTTCCAAACTCTTCTCTGACTTAAGTTGAAGGTGCTCAATGGCAGTGGTACTTAGCACGGTCTTGCCTGATCCCGGCCGGCCATGAATCCACAATATCGAACGGTCATTCGAAGGTTCGGTGCAGCGTCTCCAACTCCGGAATCTTGGATCGTCTCGCAGCCACACTCCGGTTCCTGGTGAGCGTCTCTTCAGAGCTCGGTAAAAATCTTCTCTAGAGTCAACCTGGGTTAACCATTTCAATATTGCATCTTTGGTGTCTATATGTGCTCGTCAGCGGACTGGTATAGGAATTATAGGAAGTCCAATGAAAGCTTAGTATGGGTATGGCTCGACTCACGATATGCATCTCGACTATCTACTCGGCTCGCAAGATCTATATTGTCTAAAGCAATAGTTCCAACTATTTGTTGGATTTTCTTAGTCGAGAAATCCATCCTCTCCCGATGCGCAAGGGTGATTTCATCATTGAAAACCCGAGTATATCTTTCAATATGTTCCAGATTATCTTTGAACTCTGCGTCGAAAGACTTTCTCAGATTCTTGAGAAAGACCTTCAATGCTAAAGCTTTGTCAGTACCGGATAAAAGAAAAAAGGGGGCGTTCTACTAACAGCTAACAGAAACAGACTTTCGTATTTTCTCCAGAAATAGATAAATTTCATCATATAAATCCGACAACGCAGTTCTGACACGGACTTCCGTCGCGAACATCTTTTCATACTGACTTGATATAGAAAGGATGTCGCTAAGCTTCAACATCGCATTGTCGATATAATAAAAATAAGTAGCCGAAGTCTGAGCAACCATCAAAACAGCTTTCAATGAACCCCACACTAAAGAAGCACTACTAGTTCCCTGAACCATCATATCAACTATAGGAGAAAATCTCGTTAAAAAATCTATAACCGGCTCAATAGTCTTCCCGACTTTGCGGTACCGAGATGATGCGAACCTGTGGCGTTCAAGTGCTCGTACTTCTCGCCATACATCGTCAATGTTTATTGGCGGTTGGGGTACTATCATTGACGAACTAGTCGTTTCCGTTTCTGTCGCAACGCTTGATGTGCCAAATGGAGGCGTTCTTATCTTCATTTCTTCTTGCCATTGGGGGTTTGGATAGTCAGCTGACCTGTAAGACGGGACCCGGCTTGATTTTTCCACGTTTTCCGCTGGGGATTTACAGAAAGGAGACATTGCAGTGAAGTTTGTTAGAAAGTTGGAGAATTGATGCAGCAATGTTTCCAATTACCTGGTATCATCTCTTCTTTATCAAACCCCTCACCGAGTGTACATCGATACCACGAGTTGAGCACTGCCCTGGTGGCATACCTTTATTCAATAGGGCGAACATTTTGGGCTGAGCGATAAGACATATGACTAGTCACACAACTACGCCGAGGATGCATGGTACATGTGAGGGATTCCGCATTGGGTCACAGCCCCCGAGAACCAAGTAAACCAAGTAAAATCATCAGCTCGAGTATTCTCTCCACATTGAGCCTCATCATTGAAGTATACCTTGCAGCCTAGTCGAGGCATATTAACAGATCCCGCGTACGGAATACCTCAACAAAATTATTTTTCTATTTACATAATCTGCTATCTTTTTCGAACAAGTATAATCAAAAGCGTGTCCTTCCAATGAGTCGAAATTCAGACGATGTTTTGCGTTGCGTATGCACCGTCTCCGGTGATCGAAAAGAATGTACCGTTGCCATTGAGAGCATTGTTCAAAAGTTCTTCGGTAAACATGCGAAAGTCATTCGAAAGAAGTCTACTGTCAGTATTTGTCATCAAATGCTCGGGTTAAATGTAGATTTAACGTTTCATTTAGTCCGGAGCGCAGAACTATGACTATGAAGTCCAACTACCAGGCAATGAGGCGCCGAGATCTGAGGAACTACAGGTATTTCAGCATGTTATAAGTACTTGAAATACCACTAAGAATTAAAGAAAGTACATAATCTCTGTCGTCTCAAGGTCCAAGCTTTATTGCGAGAACTCGATCCTCTACCAAACTCAGAAAAGGGAAAAGAGCTAGTGCAACCTCCAAGTTCTGATCCAGAGAAAGTCCCCCAACCACCTGCAAAAAAAGACAGACCAGATACTATTCGTATCAAGAACATACCCGTAACATACACGAGAGAAGTTGTTGAGATAATTGTTCAGAAGAAATTCCGCAGCAAACCCAAGATACAAAGTCTCGCACTCCATACAAAAGAACATCTTTGTGCCACCGTCACATTCCCGAAAGAAGAGTTTGGGTTTCCAACGGAGCAATTGCCAAAAGTTATCCTAGCACGCCAATCACGTTCAGATGCACCGGAGATACAATATGATGCAGACTTCCTGAACTTCACAACTTTGTATAATGCGAGGTTGCAAGCAGATGTGGAGTATGTATATGTATATCATTTACTCGACTCGCTCTAATGGCTGACGTAAACTGTAGTATCGTAGCTGTGGTGGGTCTTGGAACGCACGCATTTGGGACTTTCCGTTCCACAACTCCTGGTAGTCATGAAATGTGGTTGAGAGATTTCCTTCCGAAAGATATCCCAAACACTCGCATTCTCTTGTATGGGTATCCGTCCACTGTTTCTGGGGGCCAATCCATGGAGAAGGTCGAGGATATAGCGAGCACCTTCTTGAACAGATTGACACTACTTCGCAGAAACACCACGGTGGGTGGTATACATCTCTCGCTTAAGCCGCTACGGACTGCTGCTGACACGAGTTATAGACACGAAATCGTCCCATAATCTTTATTGGACAAAGTCTTGGGGGTCTGATAGTTCAGGAAGTAAGTTTTGTCTCGAGTTCTAGGTGTAAATGCTGATCTCACGCTGTTTAGTCACTTCTTAGAGCTGCAGATAGTCGTGATCCATACGAGCGGGAGATTTTCGACTTCTGGCACGGACTTGTCGGCTTTGGTATCCCAATAGCAGGTCTTAACAATCCTTCTCTTATTGAAGCTGTAAAATCACAGCCAAACAAAGTTTTGATCGGTCAATTATGTCGTGATCGTGAGAACGGGACACCATCCGCTTATCTCATCGAGTTAAAACACAGATTTGAGAGCTGCTGCAAGCGGAAAGAAAGATCCTCTTCGCATGCACCAGAAGTGTTGTATTTCTGGGAGAGACATTATTCCCAGCCTCGAACAGTAAGACTTTCTTAGATGATAAATTTCGGACGACTAACAATGTAAACAGCGTAACGGGATTGTAGGCGAAAAAATTCTCATGGTAGAAGATAGTGCGACACCAGGTGCACGAAATCTACCTTTAAACTCCGACCATTCTGGCATGGTAAAATACAGCAGTAGATCCGACCTACTTTACGAGGATGTTTCAAGCAATATAGATGGTATGGTCTGTAGCTTGGCAGAGCGGAGGAACGGCGTTCAATCCGCCTCAGTAGATGAATCCTCCCAAAGAAGAGGTGATACAATTATCAGTGGACCATCGGCACCAAAGAGAAGAGGCACCTTTCTTTCCGAAGATGAGTTGGAGACAACACTAGCTTAGCACAATGACGAGAAACCATTATATATATAGGGAAGACTCAAATTATGAGGTGATCTTCAACAAGTGGAATCATAATATATACAAAAGGCATATGAACCCAAAAGATATATACACGGTGCACTAAATGCTACCAATTTCATCGCCTTCGTTTCATTAATCATGAAAGATTATACATTATTCATCGTTATTAATCCACGCCGTATTCTATGGTATTATGACGACCCTGGCGCATAAATTTCAAGCCCTTGTTGTATTGTTCCATACGTCGATGGTATATTTTTCTTGCATTTTCAAGTTGTTTAGTAAAAATTTCCCTTTCTGTAAACAAAATTTCAGCATTTTTCACAAAAATTGTTACCAAGTCACAGTTTACCTTCATCATTTGAAAAAGTGACTTCGAGCCAGCTGAGCTCTTTCGGGTTTTGAGGAAATTTTAAAGGTCCGATCTCAAGGTCGCAACGAACAGGGTGAAGCACAAAGCAGCGAGGAAACTTGTCATCAGGCTTGCATTTTTTTCGGTCGAGCTTTGAGTGCTCTGCAACTAAGATTGTTTTAGTAACCAATTGAGATGGGACTCAGCTCGCTTACATTTGAATGCTAAGATCTGCCCTCGTTGGATCTTCCCATCTCTCGACGACGATTCAACAAACATAATGACGAGTGGAGGAACGGGCATTTCTATTTGTAAGCCACTGCCTTCGTCAATAGTAGTTAGGTGTGAGCCAGGAATAGCTTGTTGTGCTTTCAGTGTGGCTATCGAAGCAAAAGTGGTCCCACTCATGGTTGAGAGAGATGTCGATGCTCTACGAAGTGAAGAGCCTGCGCCAGCTTGGGTAGAATCATGTCCCCTGCTGAAGTCTTTGAGCCAAATTTGTAGTCTTCCGGTAATTGCATTCTTGCTTTCAAACTGATACTTCTCAAGGGTCCGAAGTTTGATGCCCCGTTGACTGTGGAAAAATTAGCGACATTGATGTTTAGACGATATTGAAAGAACGAACAAGTCTATTAAAACCTTATATCCCGTCAGATCCCTTTGAAATTCCTTCAAATTTGTTGAGCTTTGGAAGAACAAACGGCCTCTCGTGATATCGGTTCTTCCACGTAATTTTCTCTCTAGGGTCAAATCACACATGTAAATTCCAGGGGTAAGATAATTGGGATGAATAGAAGCTCTTCGTAAATCTCTATTGCGACGGAATTAGAAATCATCACCAAGTCATCAGTTTGATTGTGCAGACTAACAATTCTCTGAACTCCCGGAGGGTATTAGGCCAAAGATTTAATTCCTCGTCGAAATCCAAAGTCAATGCACCCTCTGCATCTATTCGAATTTTCATTACATGACCATTTTGCTCGCCACCGAGTTGACTAATAAATTTTAGTATTCGTACATGACTAAATCGGGGAATTACCGATCGTGTTACTATTTGAAAAGAACTCCGTATTCATCGATGCTCATGGACTGAGTCGACCCAGTTGAGATACTTTCATGCCTATCTTGTACTAGAGGAGGAGTTTGAGGGATTAAGGGCGTCGATTGCTGCGAGTGCTTTGTTTTGGTCCTTTCTTGAACAGCATCAGGATTGAGGTATTCTGTGTCTAGTTCAGTAAGAATGCCAAAGAGCAGCTGTGGATTGTCAGCTTTAAGTGAATCAAAGAGTGGCAGCTACTCACGATTTCCAGCTCCGTTATATAATGATGTAAAGTGAAGCCCGTATCAATGATACATAAATCTTGTGGATGTTTGAAATGTGTCGCAAATTGGCGATACTCCACCGATCCTCGAGCAGACATCAGGTAGTGCGAGCAAATCATAAGATGTATCCACCTATCAGAAGGTTCACAAGACTCTTCTTGTGCGATTTGTAGATTTCGAGTGAAACATTGAATAAAAGCTTCCCAAGATTTGGCCGAAACTTTGCAAAGTTTGTCTCCAGATATATGGCTCAAGTATTCTGCATCGTTCAATTTGTTCCACTTAAATTGGTAATTATAACCATCTAGTCGGCTTATTTCGCGTCCCTGTCTCCCACATCTTTGTATTTCTGTTTCGACGTAGCCCTCAATTTTTTGCGATCTCCACTCTATCCATCGTAGAGGAATGGCAGCTTCGACATTTGCATCTCTGTGGAAGAGTCAATATGTGCAAGGCTCATCGGCTGGCGGTAAGATACTTACGGGTCGAATGTGCAGAGCAATACTCTCAATTTGTGATTTTCGATGGCTATGGCTTCCGTAACCGAATCTAACAGTTCTGACTTCCAGAGAAATACATTTTCACTAGCTTTATAATTCTTCGCATCTTCTTCTTCTATCAACTGCAATGTAACTTGGAGATTTCCATGAACGCTGACCAAGATTCTGATAAGCTCCCCAGACGAACGAGGATCGTCATTCTGGCCCCAGGTACCCTGAACATCGAGAAAACGGGCGTGGATTGTCGATAGATACTTGATAAGTTCGTCAAGTTCTTCCTCCAAATTATTGTCGGACTTCGAATCGTAAGAATCTGTCGAAAATTAGAAATCCGGCGACGATTTGCATACAGATATTGCTTACGAGGCGGAGAGATACGAGTGCGATCGTGAAGCTTATCAGCAAGGGCCCTCATGTGGTCAAAAAATTCCATCATCATAACCTTGTCCCTTATCAAGAGATTTCCACAATATCGCGCGCAATAGTATCATGTTAAAAGCAAAGAGAGCGATAGAGACAGCAACAATTGGAAAGAAAGTTGTGAAAAATAACAAGTACTTGTCTCTCTCAGAATCTAGTGCGTAGCCCTGTTTACAATGCTAGCTGCCTAGGTAGGTATTGTATTTCCACCATCCGCTTATCAAACCGCTGTAGTTCGATGGAATGACGACACGGATTATTTTATAGCGGCTTAACACATGAAAATATGAGCAAATCCTATCAGTTCCATATTTATCTTTCTGTCAGATGAATACTCTACGCCGAAGCCCTGTGAAGCTATCGTTCCGTTGTGCGACTAGAGAGAATGAGGGGCGCAGGGGCGCAGGCAATAGTCTTGATAAATAACCCCCCTGCCACCCTCGTGAGTGTGACCCAATCTCACTCATTTTGCGAACTTGGCTTCTTGTCCTTGTCTCAATCCGACAAGATATCAAGAATGAGGCTGTCACACAAAATAACTCACCGAAGCCCTTACGGGTGCGGGCGAGGCCTAGTTCAAATACTTCAGAACCGTCATGGCCCAGCCAACTTCTCCTTCAAATTTGAAATACGCAACATTTCGATGTAGCCAATTGATATTAATTTGCATATAAATTGCGCTTCATCGCAAACAAGAACTCTGAATTGATCAAATGGGATATCCGGCGCAACCGCAGTCACCAACCATGGCGGTACACTCGGAAAGTTTGCATCAAGACCGGAGCAACATAAGTATTGGTGGCCTCAGCGTTGATGATTTGATGTACTTGGACGAGCAGCAGGCTATCGGTAACTCTTCGAAGGAATTCACCAAATCTCCAGAGGACAAAGATTTGTTAAGTCGTTTCCAAGTTGCTTGTATCATAATAAATCGTATGATGGGTATGTCGCTCCCATATAAACCAGCTTGCCTCTGCAGCGATCATTACTTACACATGTTCAGGAACGGGGATATTCGAGTCGCCAACCACTATTTTAAAACAAGATCATAATATCGGGGCGAGTCTCATTCTCTGGACATTGGGCTTTATAGCCAGCATGGCTGGCACTTTGATGTACGTCGAGTATGGCCTTACGATTCCACGGCGCAAAATGGCTGGCGAAATTCAAGCTGTTCCAAGAAGTGGTGGTGAACTTAACTACATCAAATTCCTCGCGAAACATCCTAAATACATGGCAATCTGTATGTTTGGCTTCATATTCGTAGTCGTCGGAAATTCTGCCGCCAATTGCGTTTCATTCGCAGTTCATTGTCTTGCGGCAGCAGGAATGAATGATCCACCAAAAGGCGCAGTGCAAGGAATCGCACTTGGTACTGCCTGGCTCGTTACTTTGTTGCATGCTTTGGGCAGGATGTTTGGTGTTCACTTGAACAGTGCTTTTGCTGTGACAAAGGTCTCAATGCTCATTATGATAATTATACTGGGCTTTATGGTACTCAACAATCATACTAGACACTTCCATCGCGACCCATTATCGTACAGTAACCTCGATACAAGTACCAGTTTCAAAAAACTAGGGAAAGGGGACCACGCTCGTGGGTTTGCAGCCGCATACCTCAATATTATATTCACATGCGGCGGGTGGAACCAAGCAAACTATGTAGGTACCGTGTCGGCGAACCTTTGTAGTCCGACTGACACTCTTTTAGGTACTCGGTGAAATTAAGAAGCCAACCACTAGGTTTCGAGGCATTTCTCTTTGGACCGTTGGACTCATGTGTCTATTGTATTTGTTAACTAACATATCATATGTTTGTATGAATCTTGAGGGGTCAATGAAATCAGGCTGACAACACTTCTAGATGATAGTAATAGTAGTCCCACAGGATGGAAAATTCCCAGATGGTGAATCAGTGGTCGAACAATTCTTCAAACGAACCATTGGCCAAGCTTGGAATGAAAGGCGAGCAAGTCAACTGATGGATGCATGTCTCGCTGTCTCAAGCTTAGGCAACGTCATTGTCACTACTTTTACCGCTGCTCGTGTCAAGCAGGAGATTGCGAAAGAAGGAATACTTCCATTCTCTTTGGTCTTTGCCAAGAATGTCAACATTATTGAATGGGCAACCAAGAAACTGAAGCGATCGGAACAAGTAGGAGAGCCGGTTGAGCATCTTCCACAGGGAGGAGTCGCAACCACGCCAGAACGAGCCGAATTCGAGCCAATTCCATTTCCAGCTCTCGTACTTCACTGCGCATTCTCCACGATTCTGATTCTTGCCTCAATCCAGATCCCTCGGTCCAGGGATGCTTACCCATTACTTGTTGGTAAGTGAACTTTCGAATCTTACTTTTGTTCTCCACCTTCCAAATATTCACTGACAGCTTCTGGCAGAAATTTACACATACCCAATTGATGCGATGGTCGCAATTTGTCTCAGTTTTGGCATGATATGGATGCGATCAAGAGAGACAGATGAATGGAACACATACTCCACCACAAACAGATGGTTCAGTCTCATAACTGCAATAATTGTTTTCGTTGCCAATGCATTTCCAGTTGCCGCATTATGGATTCCCGAATCGTCTTCTGAAAGTTCAATACCTTGGTACATTGTTCCCACAATCGGATGGACACTCGTCTTAGCTGGTTTCATTTATTACGTGGTCTTTCGTTTTGCAGTCCCTTTGTTTTTGGGTGGCGCTGTATTGGAAGTCAAGAGAGATCCTGTTATTGGTATTGATAATGAAGGACATTTTGTACAACATGGTGAGATGGTCTATCAGAAATGGTCAGTGCCTGAAGATGAAGATATACCTTATCCGAATGGACACAGTAATGAGGTTGAACTTAAGCAACTCCATTAATATGAGCGGAAGGTGTAATATTTGATAGGAGACTGTCCTAGAAGGATGCCATAGCCATCTTCAATGAGGATTAACATTCAAGATGTTTAATTGTACCATTATACCATTCAATCCCCTCTGCTTCGTTTTTCAGTCTACACGGAATGTATCAGACTTTTAATGCGAAATCTAGTCATTGTCTAATTCAATTGTGACTATCTTCTAGAGTCCGTCCCCTTTTTCTTCCCATCTCGTTCCCGGCCATCTCTTCTTAATGGAGCTATTTCATTACATGGTACAAAGTCCTTGGTCCAAAAATGGAAGTATGAAGCCTTGAAACCTTCAAAGATACAATGCAGGTACAGATGAAATGTGAAACAAGCGCTGAAGTAGAACATCAATTAGTGGATCGACGATGAAATAAGGTTTAGCTCGGATTGATTTAGGGTGGCATTAGCTTCATTTCCCTTCATCCCACCGCTATTTATCGATTTTATACAATAGTCGTTGTAGATCATTATCAAGTCTTACTGTGTATCATGTTTGACGCATCTTCTTATGATATTTCCCTACCTTTTTGCAAGCTTTTTTGATTTTATGATATGCATGTGTCTATGGGACGTCTTCTGTAGTTTTTCTCGAACATCTATTAATAATAAATTGTCAAATTCAGTTCGTGATACTGATTCTATGTGTCAAAAGTACTGTAGGTGAAGGTCCTAACCTACGCAATCATAAATCTTCTCGTCTCTGCAATGAAATTCCGTAATCAAAGACGCGTCAAATCTGAAAGGCTGGCAAAAGTCAGTGTCATGGTTCGAGGGTCTCTATATCTCTTGAAGACACTCATTCACTAGAAAGTTAGCGTAGCATGCACTGCAGAGCGCGCGCTAAGTCATTGAGTAAGTCTAGACCAAATTTATAAAGCGGGATTACTTAATCACACCAGAACTTTGACCTCTTTTCTTCCACCTAAAGTCCAACTTCGCATCCGTCGTAATGGACGCAATCAAGCTTCCATGACGACCGGAATACCTCACCGCCGAACAAAAACTTTGATATAGCAAGACTGGCTACGGGAAAACACAAATTTGAATTAACAAACACTATTTTCATGAAAGATTTCCTTGAAGTGAGCGCACCAGCAATCGTACAATTTGGTCCCAAGCGGTGACCGGAAGCTATGTGTTGAACAGACCAGATTTAGATCTTCCTTGACTTTTCACCAGTATCTTGAGCCTCAATTTACTGAGGAGTTCTCCGTTAGTTTCCCAGAGTTCAATTCTACAAGTGTAGAAGCCGGACGATCGAGATCGACTAGTTCTGTAGATCTTCAAGATGTTATCATCTTGCGGATGATGATGAGCTTGACCAGTCGTTGAGGCATGTTATAAATACCAGAGTGAGATCTCTCATTTTTTCAAAAAGCATCAATCTTCACATCCAGTTCAATACCAAGCTTAATATCTATCTTCACTCTTCGCTTCAAAAGTCAACAATCGCAATCATGGTCTCCATCAAAGCTCTTGCCTTCTACCTTGCCACCATGGCCGTCGCCGTCTCAGCAGCTCCTACCGCAGCGGTCAAATCTGTTACTACCGCCGATAGCGTCATCACCGACATCACCAATATCGATGCCCAAGTCCTCATCTTGACCAGTGCCGTCGGCAAAGTGAAGGAGAAAACTCTTGATTCCTCTACCGTCGACGTCGACTTCACATCCCTCCACGTCGCAAATCAGCAAGGAGTCACCGATGCAGCTCTCGAGGATCCAGCAAATTCAGAGGATTCCACCCGTGTCGTAGTCACCATCGAGGAGACTTTGTCTATCGACATCCCCGACGCTATCGACGCTTTGAAAGCCCAAAAAGAATTCTTCACAAGTGATCAAAGAACAGTAGTTCTCGCGTGGTTGGTAGTCTTGCAAAGTGACTACAACACTTTCGGTGGACTGTTGATTAAGAGAACCTCCGAGGATGTCATCCCCAGAGCTGAAGCGGCCGCTAAGCTTATTGGTGATGCGATCTCTGCCGGAATCGCTTATTACTCTTCTTAAGCGCATGGATATTCAGTCCGTTTGGAAGACATTGTTTGTGGGATTGTAGCAGGAGTCTTGCTTCTCATTAGAGCGTATCTGGGGTCAGCGATAATTGTTTGTGGAGATTGAAGTTTGTCACATGTTCTGTACACAAATGGAAAGTTTATAATCTTGTATTAATATATATCAATTCTATACCTCAACACTTAAGCCAGTGACAAGTGCCCCTTCACCATTATCCGGCAATATTCCCGTTCAGGAATGTATAGCTTTCAGGACCTCCCAATTGTTTGATATTGTACAAACACTCTTTAAATGAAGCACCGTCGCTATTTCATTTCGCTACTATCATAACTCATATTTAGCTCTCATCCTTGTTCTACTTGTTTTCTTATGAGATTTATTCATACTATCATTAAATCCTCTCATCCTTGCCAAACTACGCCATCTCCACAGCCATCACTTCTCATCACATATTACAGACCCACAGTCGTCACTATACAAACCAATTCTTCCATATTTTGGATCACAAGATAAGATCAAATCTTACCAGCTCATAAACTAACCTACACATCTTCACTTAACGCTCTCGGTAATTTATCGCTATATCTTGCACATATGTCCATAATCTCTCAAATCACCACCTCATAAATACATATTTCCACTTCCATAGCTCATTATATACATTCTCTGATATATACATATCATAAAAATCTTCCAACCAAGTCTCATTCACACACAAGGAGATCCGTATCCACAAACTTCTACAAAGCTATTATCGTTGTCATTCTCCTACATATATATATATAGAATTTTCAACATTAACACGATTCCATATACAATATACTCATCAATCTATCCCGCGCTTCTAATATACATCGTTATTATAATTTATCATCATCATCTTTCATCATTTCACTATCGTTTTCATTACCATCCCAATCTTCTAGTCATACTCTTCTTACTTTCTAAATTAATCTATGAATATTTCTGATCAAGCTAGCAGTACTCTACTTTCCAATAGAAGTACTGCTATTATCCACTTCCTGATGTGTAGTAATCTGACCTCAAGCAGCAACCATGGTGCGATTAATCAGAAATGTAAGGCCTTTTTTATACTTCCTCTTCCGGTTTCTCAACCCACAGCTTTACACCCAGTTACTTATTTTTCTTCTAAGTACCGCTCTAGAATAGCAACTCTCTATCCAACTCTATTCTATCCTGCTTCTCTAATTATTATTTCCCAACTCCATGACCAGTTCTCCTATAAAAACAATCCAAAATCTAAACTACTTCATCAAGCCAATTCCACAAAATTGCATGTTTAGGGTAGATGCGGTCTTGTCATTCGAATCCAATTCAATGAAGAGCTCAGCGGTGACAATACTTTCCCAACTCGGGGGATTTTTTTTGTGTTTTGGTGTTGATAAGGACTTAATGATACGTTTTTGGCTCCTTTTCTTGCTATCATGAAGAGTAAGTACTCGTTCACTCTTTTTGCTGTTACTTTATACATTTTATTTCATCGTCGATAGATCAACTTGCTTAAATATTCTATTCATCGAAACTCCTACGAACCCACGAAATCTCAGATTACCAGCCCATAACCCCTTTGTTCAAAATATCGATTCCCAAAAATTTGAGAGCTATCTATGAGATCCAAAGCGTTGATAATTCGCTCAGGATCGTTGTGATCTTGTGATTTGATTATTGCAGTCAGATAATATCTCTTTTATACTTGAAAAAAAAAACTCACCCAGCAACCTGAAGCACTCCGCTTATATCCTCTTACCACACCTCATAAACCCTTCACCTACTTACTAGGTAGGTACATCCTAATTACAATTCTTCCTCTCCCCAGTTCCATTTACTATCTACTCAGAGTATCGAATCCATCTCAAACTCCTTGTGTCTCCCACCCCCGCGCAGTTCCACCCTCTTCAATCCCACACTCCACACTCCACACTCCACATTCCAATCCTCCAATCCTCCACCATCAACTCCCCCACAACTCACACATATACACAACCAACACCAAACCCTACATAAAACCAAACCACAAAATCTACTCTTCTCCCTCATTTCATTTTCTTTCATTTCATTCCATTCCATTCCATTCCATTTCATACTAATCCAACTCTGAGATATCCCCCTACTCCCGAGATCATACAAGTAATAGGTAAGTTACAACTCTCAAATGAAAATGAAAATCAAAATCTTAATCTGAATCTCATACCCATACCCATACCTCACGCTTTATAATTACTCTACCTACCTAGGTAGGTAGATAGGTATATTATAATGTTCTTCTGAATCAATCAATCATTATCATTATCTCCCACAATCACCATTACCATCACCATCGCATTTCTAAAAATCCAATTCTACTCCATCAAAAATTATCATTCCCAATCAATACACAACACCATTACCATCACCATTACTATCCGCATGCTCATTCATCACTACTAATTAATCATCCCTCTCTCCTCCCTCTCTCCTCCCTCTCTCCTCCCTCTCTCCTCCCTCTCTCCTCCCTCTCTCCTCCCTCTCTCCTCCCTCTCTCCTCCCTCTCTCCTCCCTCTCTCCTCCCTCTCTCCCCCCTACTCCCCCCTCCCTCAATAAACCACCTACTATACACATATCCATACACCAACAATCCCTAACATATACAACATCTTCTTTCCTCTTCTTTCCTTTTCTTTTCTCTTCTTTTCTCTTCTTTTCTCTCCTCTTCCAACTTCTCGCTCCATTGCTCCCAGTCTTTTTCTCCTTTGGATAGATTGTGCATAAGATTGAGGTACATTTACTACCCAGATACCTAGTAGTCACCACAATTCATTTCCACACCCTCTTCACATCACAGATACTCATAAACACCCACCTACGCAGCAACACACATTATTATCATTATCATCATCATCTTCACCACCCCAATCATTATAAGAAAAAGCACGCATAAATTAACTATCTACTCCACCAC